TCACAATTTGAAACGCTGATATAATAAGTTTAATAGCGGACGTCGCTTGAATAAGAAGAATTTTGTAAAGGTCGTCCATTACTACTAGTTTCGCTAAAAGGACAACTTTTTGGTCTGAAACCTGCAAATCCTGTAATAAGTTAAGACTAATGTGTTAGAACAGAAACAACTTTCTATTATATACTTTACTTTATATGTTATAATATAATTAATAATAATATATAATATAATTAATTATATATAATAATAAGTATAGTATAATAAGTATAATTATAATAGAAATAATAATTATGGAAAGCAAATTGGATCATGTCGGTAATGAAGTAGCAGATGCCGTTCACTAATGCTAATAGATTAGGAAAATAAAATGGTCTTTAAAATACTTTTCATTATTTATTTTAAGACTGTAATACCCCTAAGTCTAAGATGTGTAAAATTTTAATTTAAGTATTTTGCAATAAAAAATATTTTTTAATGTATAGTCTTGTTTGTATTTAGATTTCTATCAGCTTCAAGACCCGATGGATCTGCCATTTCACTGCTCCCTTTGCCATTTAGACAGAACACCTAGTAGATTCATAACGCGTAGTACCGGTATTGGTGTTGAAGTTAGATCTCTCATGGTGCTCAGCATATCAATGATTTGTGCGAACTGTAGGAGTATTGCGTAAAAATAGAGTCCCGAAGTAATACTTAAAATCTTATTACATTAACTAAAAGCCACCATGGTCTCCCTCGTACTCTCCTCAACATTAAGCTTCCATGACAATTTCCTGTTAATTATCATCAACCAGTATTTGGTATGTTTTCAGTGTCAGCGTAATCTCATCTAACTTAGGCCTATTCTACCTGGGCACCTATCTGAGAAAGGGATCGTATTTAACTTTTCTGCCTTTGCACTCCTTTTGTGTAAATAAGTTTATAAGTTCGTGATTATATTATTTCTATGAAAACAAATTAAAAAAAAGTAATAGAAATATATTACTTTTAATGCTTTGTTATTTGAAAGGCAATGATCAATATTATAAGCCATTCATTTTGATATGTATGTTATATGGATTCCAATAGGTCGGATATGTAAAATAAATAAATATTGAGAATACATCAAAATATGAATAGAAATTTCTTATAAATTCATTACAAAACTAAATTTTGCATTCTTACATTCTATCCAGTAATTCCGCCAAACCCCGAACTAAGAAATCTTCTTACAGTAAATTTTATTAGGAAAACTTTTAAAATGGATTCCAGCAAAGTGCAAAATTCAGTTGATATTTGTTTATTGGTTTCAAACGTAACTCGTGGGTATATGTGAAGTACATAAACGGATTTCTATTATAAACAAAAATTAAATTAACAAGAAAAACTAAATTGAAAGAAAATTCATTTTATTGTTGGAATAATCACTTACCTGGCCAGAGAAAAAAACTGCGGGAACTGATATAAAAAAATATCCTGCGGTAAGTCGTAATTTACTCAACATGTCATTTCAATAAATGAGCTGAATGCTGTGCGATGCAGAGAACAACACCAACCACAAACTTTTGGCCACCAATATCAGTAGTGAACAGTGCTCATATTGGTACGTTCATAGGTGCGAAAATACCACAAGTAATGCTTACACTTCAAAAAAAAAAAAAAAATTCAATAAAAAGATTAAAAAAAACATCACTCCAAACAGCATAAACTGCAGTTACAACAGCTACGTTAGTTCAACACAATAAGCGACCTCATAAAATAATCTAGACCCGGCCTCCAGGAGACTTGCATTTCTAACCAAATTAGAAGTGTGGTCATAGCTTTTGGCGCTACATGTTAACATTACCACTGCCTAAGTGGACGGCCACTTGCAGCCAATAATGTCCAATCTTTGTGCTAAGAAAACAAATGTTTTTATATATCACTGTGCTAAATTTCAAACAAAGGATAAAGTAAAAATAAATAAATACAGATAGATTTTATGAAGTTCCTTTAAATATTTAAAATAAAAAAAAAAATTAATTTATTTATTTTGTAGAAAGAACGTTTGAATAAAACCGTTATATAACGTTAAGCCTGGTACTTATAATTCAAGAATTGTATACAGACTTATAAAAATAAAAATTGTTTTCACAACCCACTAATGGGCAATACTCGAAAAAGTTGTACGGTCAGCCAAAAAAAATATTTTGTATTGATTGTTATAAAAATTTTCTTTTCTCATACATTTAGAAGTAGCTTTCTAGCGCTTGGTTCATTATATAAATATCGATTTTATATATTTTATAATATAACATAATTTTAGTTTTAAATGACTGCTTATTTTTTCTTTTGTAACATTAGAGCTTATTGTCAACCCATTTTATAAACTACCACAGTCAAGAATTGTCCCCTCCAATTTATTATAAACCGTAATACTAGGTATATCGCTGCTTCTAATTCCCTTTAGGTGTGGCTTATGACCTTATACTAACTATCTTCTGAGAAATGAGAATGAAATAAAAAACATCTTGAAGTTTGAACAATGAAAATTTCAGGCAGCATTGGCTCGTTCGGTTAAAAGACGACAAGTTGTTTCTTTTTAATTTGACAGGTTCAAAATTATAAGCCCTGCACTCGTTATTCAACAGTTATATACAGACTTATAAAATTAAAAAAGGGTTTCACAGCTCACTTGAAAAAGCTGTATGGTGTGCCCAAAAAAAGTTTTAATAATTCAGAAATAAAATTTTGTTGTGGCTCACTGTTATTCAAACAATATATTAGGTTCTTCGGAAAGTAATTGCGTTTTTTCCCGACAGAGGATGTAATTGTTTATACTTTTTTTTCAGTAAAAACCAAAAATTTTATGAACGTGGAATTATGCTACTATCAGAAAGATGGCAAAAGGACGGCCAATATATAATTTAATAAAGTATTTGATTATTATACGAAAACTGTCTTTCATTTCCACAAAAGAAAACGAAACTACTTTCCGAACAACCTAATAGATTTCATTGTCATAAATGATTTTAAAAATTAAATTTAATATATTCTTTTTAAATATCATAAATGCCAAGTATTTGTAAATAGTTATCTATACGTGTATATGACTACCGAACTTTTCCGATACGCAGTTACAACTAACTCTCTCTCTCTAACTCTCTCTCTCTAACTCTCTCTCTCTA